GAAATGCGATCCCCCTTCCTTGAAAGTTCCGTCTCTGGTGCGATCCTCATCATCATCCCCCATGCTACTTACGATGTTCCTAAATTGTCCCACTCTCCACTTTTTCGAAGTTTTTTATTTTCTCTAAAAGCCCTCCATTTTTCGTCAAACAACCGCCATCGAACAGGGGAGTGGCTGCCAAGTAGAAAAAAAAAACAGAGAAATCAGAAACTGAAAACATTTTCCTCAGAGGCATCTTACACTCCATCCCTTCAAAAATCGAATAAGACCCTCATAGCTGGGGACGGCCAACGTAGGACGTGCCGTGATTTATCAACCATTCCCCAATATGCGAATTACAGATTTTGATCGAAATTTTCTTTGAGGGCACAGCTGGCCAAAATATAGTCCTCGAGGTATTTTGAACCCTGAAAGGCAATATTTTACTGGTGTGGCGTAGAAACTCCAACCGGGGGTACTGCGCCGCCAAAATTGCTATGCAATGCCTAGTATCTTTCTAAGCAACTTGCTCTATCTCCTCAAATTCCCACTGGTCTACCAGTTATTAGTCTGTTAAGTCTTTTAATTTCGAAGAAGGTGGATGATACTGTTTGAAAATCAATGTGGAAGCCATTCAGAAGATTAGAACTGTATTAGACCTGAAAAAATTGGTTGAATGCTGACAAAGAGAACAATATAACGTTATTAGTGTTTAATTTATGTGCCATTTCCAGCTTTGTTTTTGCACTTAACTACTTTATAACTTTAGATTGAACGCTATTTCGCTGCTGCTATGGTGCCGCTATTCCCTGCTGCCTATTTCATCCATGGCCCAGTGATGGATGCGGTACTTACCGTTGCTCTCACTCTCCACATCCACTGGTAGAAACGTTTTATGAAATAGTTGTTTTTCGATTAAAATTAGTGCACTTTTCTTTCTCCTTGCTTCAAATTGTTATGGTTAATTAATTATTTACTTAATGCCTTCCTTTAGGGGAGTGCAAGGAGTGGTCCAGGATTACGCACGTCCATTTGTAATTGGAGATACTCTTGCGAAAACTGCTCGAGCTTCCGTTTACCTAATTACGGCCGCTCTTCTGGCAGGTACGCACATGTTTGTTGATTAGCTTATTTAGCTGAATTACCCAATGTTATAAAATCAGCTGCAAGCAAGTAATCATTTTTAACCAATATTTTCAATATCTCTACGATTTTGTTCTGTTACACCCTCCCAAGGCTGCGTTCATACTTTGCTGCAGCGTCCACCAGCCTGTATCAGTGTTTCGAGCGAACGTTAGCGCCTGCGACTAGGAAAGGGTAGGTGTCGATCTAGCGAATTTGTCTTCTTTTTGTTGGATTTACTAGACCTGCTCTCTGTTATGTTGTTTTTTGGGTACCACGTGCTTGCGCGTGTAATAAATTGAAAATTGAATTTAATGCCAGCGTCCTCCAGAATTTGCCAGCGTACAGAAGCATCCAAGAGAATGGGGAAGTAGGAAGATAGCACATAGCTGGATTAGGCGTCGTGAAATCAAAGCGTGTATAAACGCACCTTACAACTGCACTACATCGTACATAAAGACTGCATAATTCTGTGCTTTAGCAGTTGTGCTGTGTGAAATTATGCGCCGCAAAATTCATTCACTTCTACGCCTAATCCAGCTCTCTGTCACCCTCCTGGTTTCCCATACTCTCTTTTTTCCTGGACGCTACTGTACGCTGGTGGACGATGGCTAGATCGATATCCATACTTTCTTAGAGCTGGCGCTAGAGTCGCGGGAGCGTTCGTACGCCTGAAACAGCTGGGGGACGCTTATGATCGATGGCGCAAAGTATGAACGCAACCTAAGAAGGTTTTGTGGCCGAGTCATATGGAAGCAGCTGCTATCCTAACAACAATCGGCAATACATTCTAGGGCTTCTCCACTTCAACACCAACGATGTGGGCATCACTGAAGCTTTCCGAATGGTATTTTCGCTCTGAGCTCCCAAATTAGAAGAAGGGAATCTTCTTTGGTGTGTATCGTTACAATGATTGATCTGTGGTCGTGTTCGTCCAATTAGAATGTGAATATTTAGGATGTTACAATATGTAGACGTGTAGCTTTGCTGTTTCCCGGTTTCGAATAATATATTTATATCGGAATTGTGTTTGGTCTTCCAAGCTAGTGAGCGTGATCATGGCTTATCTTTGGGAAACTCCACCAGTTCCTTCCACTAGCTTCGATGACTGAATATTAGGTCCTGCAGCGAAATGTCAAAGAAGAAATCCAAGAACCAAAAGAAGAAATTTTTTGCTCATCCCAAGAACCGAAACATTGTATTCAAGAAGAAGAAAGTAGATGATGTTCGTGTAAAAGTTGACTCAACGTTGCGGAAGCGTGGAGCGTTTATTGTCTTGCCCACTTCTGGGTGCAATGCAATACCTCATTGTCCTCACGGCGAGTTTGATTTTTTTTTCTGTTTTCTATACTTTTGGCTGTGGTCTATACTAGCCTAGCACTAATTACTAAAATCCAATTAAATATGCTGAATATAACCAGTCCCGAACCGTCTTGGAGGCGCGTTCCCGTTCATTCAATGTGCAAGCGCTTTCGTTGGACAAGGTGGCCAGTCCGCAAGCTAACCGCTTCCGCTGCTCAAAAATACGCAATGCGAAGGCTACAGGGTCGTGACGAAGCAGGGCAGTGCTCACTCACTGTCTCATTTCGCCCAGCGTCCTTTTATAACGGCGACATGATGGTGCGGCTGGTCCGCTACTAGCTGTTTCCTGTGGCGAGGTTGAGATGGTAAGGGGAAAGAATTGATGTCGTTATGTTTCCAATAAGTGAGATCTCGTTTATGCCCCCTTTTCTTAGGCAGGGGTCCTATCTTGGAAACTTTGGACATTTTTTTTCTTCACCATCGATTTACCATTTTGCTATAAGTATTTGTGCCTCAGTCAACGATTTTTAATCGCAGGGCGTGCTTCCTAGGATA